TTATATATTTGACAGATAGAGATCACAAGTAGGCAGAGAGGCAGGCAGAGAGAGAGGGGGAAGCAGGCTCGATGCGGGGCTCAATCCCAGGACCCTAGGATCATGACCTGAGCTGAAGGCAGAGTCTTTAACCCCACTGAGCCACCCAGGCGCCCCTCACTTGCTATTTTCTTTACCTGGAACTTCTTCCCCAGATCTCTGCAAGGCTCTCTCCCTCACCTTCTTCACACAAGCTTTCTTCTCAAATGTTGTCAGTTAAGTTTTCCCTGACCATCCTCCCCAGTGCTACCTATCCCTCTTGCCTTCTTTATTTTTCTTCATAGCACTTACTGTCATCTGAAATACTATATATTTTGCTTGTTTGCTTATTGCCTGTCTCCTTCATTAGATTAAGAACTCCACAAGAGCAGAAATGTCTGTTTTGTTTACTGCTATATCCCGGTGCCAAGAACAGTGTCTGGAACATAGGGGGCTTTCAGTAAATATTTATTGAATGAATGTGTTACAAATCCCTTGTTTATTATTATTTCATTATTTCACTCTTTCCTGCTGATTCTTGGGATCTTTCCCAACAGGCATTCCAGGTATACAGCATTAAAATTTAAACGAAACTTCTATGTCAGCTTCAGCACTATACTCTTATATCATTCAGGATCTCGGTGGGAAATAAATTGAATGTCCAAAAAGGTTTAATGGGGAAAAATGTGAGGGAAACTTTTACAAAAGTGGGGGCAGGGTTGTTGTAGGCAGCCATTGCTGGTGGCACCTCCAAACCTCAGGCCATCTCTCCTTCCAGACAATGTTCACATTCAGTGTACTGCCTGAAATTCTGCCCACTGAAAGGACTTCCCTTCACCACCGTCTTCTAGGGCCAGCCTGCCTTAAAGACCCATCTGGGGCACCTGGGTGGCTCAGTGGGTTAAAGCCTCTGCCTTCAGCTCAGGTCATGATTCCAGGGTCCTGGGATCGAGCCCCGCATTGGGCTCTCTGCTCAGCAGGGAGTCTGCTTCCTCCTCTCTCTCTGCCTGCCTCTCTGCTTACTTGTGATCTCTGTCTGTCAAATAAATAAATAAAATCTTAAAAAAAAAAACCCATCTAAAAATCAAGACCATGCATTTTCTCTCTCTGTTGACTGTAGAAAACTTCTCCATGAAGGCGTGAGCGTGATCAGAGGAAGACACTATACAGATAGGCATCCGAGCCACCTGCCCATGCTTTTACTCGCACCTTCTGAAACTTCTAAGGCCTGATCTCGTATGTTCAATGACCATTTAACAATGGAATGCTGTTCTGCACCTCCAACTATATGATCTGCTATAGGTAACACTCTTAGACCACATTGTCACTGGGGGAATTAGAGCCTGAACTTTAGACCAGGGCCCAGTGGCAAATCTGTTACTTGACCTCTATAAAGCCTCACTCCGACTGGTGGACCCCAGTGGGATTTTGGGTCCCCAAGATTAGTATTAACATAAGACAGTATCTAATAATGTCCCAAAGTTCTGAGTATGTCCTGTTCCATATTCAGACTCACCCTAGCAAATGGCTATAGATCTCTCTGAAGAGAAGCCTTGGAGTAGTTATTCTCAAATTTTAGCATGCATCAGAATCACAAGAAAGGCTTGTTCAAGTACAGATTGCTGGACCAGTTGCAGAGTTTCTGATCCAGTGAAGTTAGGTCAGAGCCCAATAATTTACATTTCTGGCAAGTTCTTAGGTGATGCAGATGCTGTTGGAGATGCACTAGGAGAACTGCTAACTGGGAGAAAGATTTATAGAATCCACCTATGAAAGAGACTCAATCCGTCCCACCTCCCACCTCCCATCTGATTAAAGGGCTTTGAGTCTGGCAAAATGACTTAAGTAGAGGAATTGGGTAAAAGACTGTAAATCCCCAATACAATTTGGATCAAATTTCTTCCCACCAGGTCTAGCTGTTTCCACTTACACAGGTCAAGTAATACATCAGTAAGCTGTCCATCAATTTCATTACTAGGAACACTATGATCAATTCACTAGCACCACAGATCCCTCTGGGCGAAGCACATAAATTACCACTTGTCCCTGCAGTTTATATAGTAATCTCATTTACCTTATTGCTCATGGTCATGTGCCGATATCTGACCTCTTCCATTTATGGATTCCATTATTCCCCTTGAAATAAGATTGCCCAGTCCCAAAAAGGCATCCCCTAACCCTCTCTCTTGCCTACTAAAGAAGCCACGACAGTGCTTTTCCAAGAAGCTACTGTTCCCCTCATTAATGCATTTCTTGTTGCCTTGGAAAAGGAAGTATCTTTTGGGGCCTTCAGAGGTGTACAGTTAGTGGTTGCACACCATAGGTACAGTCTAACATTCCCATCTCTCTAAACTTTGCACTCCTTCCTCTACTTTGCTCCTTAAAGTATATAGTCTGAGGACCAGCAGCACCAGCATCACTTAGAAGTTCGTTAGAAATGCAACATTTTGGGTTTCATCTCAGACCTAGTGAATCAGAATCTAGAGTTTAACAAGACTCCCATGTGAATCACATGTGCATCAAAGTTTAAGAAGCACTGTTGTACAATATGTACAGTGAGATTCTAACATCTCAACCTCATTGATCAAAGGTCACTGTTGAGTCTACACTTCCAGTGACCAGCCCAACAGACTATTAACATCACTCCCAAGTGCTGAGCTAATACAGTTCCACCAATATCAATAAACTTAACAGCTCCCAGGTGATGCTGCTTCTGCTATCTGAAGACCACTCTGAGAACAACTACCAGACAGAAAATTATTCATTGCCAGGACTACAGCAAGATGAAGGATCTGGGGAATTAACATCTCTCTCCTATTACCCACTCATCTCCTGCTGCTGCTCTGGTGGACCAAACTCAAATAGAAACTGGAGGGCAAGGGATCCTGAGTAATTCAGTCTATAGAGGTCAGCCTTCCAGAGAACAGAGCAGGGGAGAGAAGAGTGGGAGGGTGAATGAGGGTGGGACAACGGGGAATAATCAGAACCACCAGAGGCAGGAGGATGCATAGGTCAATGAAAAATGGATAGATAGATGAACTGACATATACCTGAATGAAAGGATAGAACAATAACACTAGTCAATATTTGATGGGTGTTTATTACATGCCAACCTCTGAACTAAGGGCTTTACTCAGATTACCTCACTTAATCCTAAGAAGTAGTTCTTGTACCATTCCTACTTTATAGATAAGGCAGTAAGACACAGGAACTGGATAACTTGCACAGAGTGACACAGTAAACAAGTGGTGGAATTGGAATCCTAAGCAAGGCATTCTATCTGTAGAGTTTCACTCATCGGTACTGTTCTGTGATCAACGGACAGTTGGCAGACAGGCAGCATGGGATAGCGGCAAAGAGTGCAAACCTTAGAGTGAAAGACACCTAGGTATAAGACGCTTACTCACAGTATGGTCTTGCGCTCTGAACCTCGTGCTCTTTATGCATAAAATAGAAACAATAATATGTTAATGATAAAAATTACAGGCGCCTGGGTGGGTCAATCAGTTAAGAGTCTGCCTTCGGGGGCACCTGGGTGGCTCAGTGGGTTAAAGCCTCTGCCTTCGGCTCAGGTCATGATTTCAGGGTCCTGGGATCGAGCCGCACAGCACATCGCACATCGGGCTCTCTGCTCAGCAGGGAGCCTGCTTCCTCCTCTCTCTCTGCCTGCCTCTCTGCCTACTTGTGATCTCTGTCAAGTAAATAAATTAAAAAAAAAAAAAAAAAAAAAAGAGTCTGCCTTCGGCTCAGGTCAGGTCCCAGGGTCCTGGGATTGAGTCTCACATTGGGCTCCCTCCTCAGCAGGGAGTCTGCTTTCCCCTGTGCCCCTCCCCCACTCTTGCGCAAGCGCGCACTTGAGCACTCTCTCTTTCTCACAAATAAATAAATAAAAATAAATTACTTCATAGTTTAGTTGGGAAAGTTAGTAAAGTGGCATTCTTGATACAGAGCCTAGTATAGAGTAAACAATAAGAAATAATAATAATGTTACTATTATTATTATAATTAATGGATGGAAGAAAGATAAGAGATGAGATAGATAAAGATAAAGAAAGATAAAAGATGAGAGAAACACCACTCCATCCAAAAGAAGATCCAGAGCTTGGGCGGGTTTGTTGAACGGGTGTTCCACATGTTAATTTCCCTTTTGAGTCCTGGTCTTTCTCATAAGGATGGGAAATCAGTTGTCCCCTCCTCCATCTGTCGATTCCTTGAAATTTGGGGATTGTCTGATTATAAGCTGACCAGCCCCTCTCCTTAAAAATCCCCTCTTGGTTCCCAGGATTGAGAGCAGGGGAAAGATGAAGGGAGCTATTCTAGGCCAGCCTCCCTCCAGCTGTTCTGCTGACCCAGGTGTTAGACATATGAACATGGCAAATAGAGAACAGGGCAGTGCTGGCTGAGCCAAGAGACTGAATCCCAGAGGCCTGAGATGTGGGATGGGTGCCGGGCCTCTTCCCAAGGGACATTCCCTTTCAACTCTGCTTGTCCCAAGTAAGGGACTGGTTCCCAGATAACAGATGGGCAGCACTGAGAGGCTACCTCAGGCTTCACGATTGTTCTGAGAGGACCAGAGACCTGTCCTCACCACCACCCACACCACAGAGAAGAGAAGAACCACAGAGACAAGACCGAGAATGAGGCATAAACTTAGGAAAGCAGATGCAACTCCTCACTCTGACCCCCCAGTCCTGAACATCACCCCTGAAAGACAGCTCTATGGTTAATGACGCAAATACCACCTAGAAGGTGATAGTGCAGACACCCTATCTCTGGCTGAGGGGACAAGGTCCCTTCTCTTGGCTAGATTGCCAACTGCTTAGATTCTCAGAGATGAAGCCAAAAAAAGCAGAAAAGCAGTAAACTATTGAGGCAGGAAGGAGGGGGGTAGGGGCAGTTTCCTTCAGAAAATGGGGGGAGGGGAATCCATGGAATGGATGTGGAGGGGAATTTCTGAGCGGGGAAAGTGAAAGCTCTGAGCCATAAATAAGAGGCAGTTGCAGCCTCACACAGGCGTTCACACACATTCCCAGAGCCCCTCACACCCCACAAGGACGCCTGGGCGCTTCCCACAGCTCCTTCCCACTGCAGCCAAGTGTCAGCCTCGCAAGACTCCAGCACACCCCCAGGGATTCACCCACGCTCACGCTCAGCTCACTGTCGCTCTGCCTCTGTCCGCCCTCCATGGCATTCCGAGCAGGAACACTACTGACCCTCAGCCTGCTGGCTCTCTGCACCTCCCCTGGTAAGGCTGAGGGAAGGCTTGTGGTGGGCATAGGGGAGGGGGCGTCTAAATCTCAGGGTGCTGGCCATGAGGGACACTGAGTTAGGTCTGCACGTTTGGGTCAACCTGGGGGTGCCCTGAGCCCTGTGTGTGTACCTGTGAGTGTGGGTATACCTGAGACCCTGAATGCCAATGTCTGTCTCTTGGTGTCTGAATCCCGGGGGTCTGTGGCTACCCCTCCCTCTGCAGCCTGTTTCCTGCTGCCTCCGTTTCCCAGACAGGAGAGAACAGTACGCATTTGGGGAGGATGGGAGATGCTGAGACAGGGCTAATAGTCCAAATATTTTACAATTCATAAGTCCTCTAATCTCAGTCTCCTACTACCCCTGCCCCTCACCCCCCAGCCCCATGCTGTGAGCAGCATCAACTCTGCATTTATGTGGCAGTTGAGAGACCCTGGGAGAGAGCTTGGAATGATCAGGGCAGCGGGAAGGCATTTGTGGGGCTCAGGGCAGTGGTGGTTTACCAAATAGCTCAGAAGTACTCCAGTATTTTTAGAAACAATTTGGGCCATATGGGTATATACCAGCTAAATAACAGATTTAACTGCCCCCCTCCACGACACACCCCCCCCACACACACACACACGCATGCGCACGCACATGCACGTGTGTGTCCTTAATCCCTGTAGGGCCCTGGCCTCCCCTCCTCAGGGTCCCTGTATCCTGACACTCCCCTCTTCTCACCCCAGCTCTGGGTGGTGCCAACGATGCGGAAGATTGCTGCCTGTCTGTAACTCAGCGCCCCATCCCAGGGAATATCATCAGAGCCTTTCGCTACCTCCTCATCAAGGATGGCTGCAGAGTGCCTGCTGTTGTGTGAGTTGTAGGGAGGAGCTCATCTAGCCTCATCCCCCCCATCAGCCACTGGTGATGCCCCCACCTTATTATCTGTCTTCTCCTTGCCAAGCCCAACCTCTTCAAGGAAGCCCCTGAAACAGGTTCCCATATGTGGTCCCCAGCCTCTGCCAGGGCCTGCCAGGAAGATGTGTTCCTGGGCTCCAGCCTCTCTGACCTCTGACCTATGACTCCAGGTTCACCACACTGAGGGGTCACCAGCTCTGTGCACCCCCAGACCAGCCCTGGGTGGACCGCATCATCCGGAGACTGCAGAAGAACTCTGCAAAGGCAAGCCCAGCCCTCCCCAGCCCTGACTCTTTCCTCAGAGCCCCTGCCCAAAACCCCAGCTCATGACTCTGCCTTTCCTTCCTTCCCTAGAACAAGCGCCACAGCAGTTAGCCCCTGACAGCCCCAGAGAGAGCCTTGTGTCTGAGTGAAGGAATGTGATTCACTGCAGTCCTGAGGAACCAAGGATCAGAAGGGAGGACCAGGCTTCCAGCAGCTCTGCACCAGACCTGACCCAGCAGGTTCAGGACCTGGAGTGTCAATGGGAGTGTGAGTGTGAGCAAGGGTGAGTGCGGCAGGAGCGCAGCTTCTCCTCCACACCCAGACCACAATGCTTCCAATAAAGCCCAGCTGGTACCCATGGACCTGTCTGTCTGCTGTTTGTTGTCTGTCTGAGAGGACCAGAATGGGAAAGGGGGAGATGCAATGGCAGGATCTCACTTTCCCTCTGCAACCTGAGCAACCTCCTCATGGACCCCTACTTCACACCCAGCATTCTGGGGATGAGTTCCCACGATCAGAGCCCCACCTGGTCTCCTCACGGTCCTCTTACTCTCCACAGTTCAGCAGCACCAAACCTGTGTCTTTTCTCTGATTGAGCCAACTCTTTTATGCCTCCCAGTCTTCTCCAAAACAAAGTATCCAGGTGTCTCAGGGATCAGGTGTCACCAGGGGGAGGGGAAATGTCAAGAACCAGCTTTCCTGGCCAAGGGCAAGAAGAGGCCCAGCTATGCTTGGGGGTGTGGGGTGGAGGGGAGAGTCCCAATCCATATCCCCCCACACCCCCGCCTTTCCCTCTGTCTGGAACACTCTTCTTTCTCAGCAGCTCACCTGCCTTCCCTTCTAGCGCTTAATGACTCTTAATCCAGGAAGCTTCCCCTGACTCCAGGCTAGATTAAGTAGCCCCCCTTCCTCCCAAGCTCCTAGGGCCCTTGCCCCCTCCCCTTGCAGCACCATCACATTGAGTTCTTTCTAACTGATAGTTTGTCAGCCTTCCTCAAGAAATCTCATGTCTCTTTTGGTTTCCACTGTCTCCCTGGTGGTGGTGTCACTGCCTGGCAAAAGGTAGTCACTCAATAAATATTATCTAGAAAATGAATACATATGTGAGGAAAAGCTCAACAGCCAGCCTTGTGGGCCCATCTGTCCACACAGAATCTGACCTTCAGGATAGCCTTCCTCTCTCCTCAGGCTGGGCCAGGTCTAGCCCCGTCTGAGCAATCCTGGGGTCACATTTCTGAGGGATACTGACAGAGAAACCTGGGAGCCAGAAGTCAGAGTGGAAGAGGGCTTAGAGGGTGGAAGAAGGAGCAGCCAGGAAGCCAGGGAGATTGAGCAAGGAGGAACTTCCCCACCACCCCGCAACCTCCAAGACGGAGGCAACACTAAGACCAGGGAGTTACAGAGAAGGAGTCTCCTCTTGGGGACATGAAAGCACTGTGATTCTTGGAGCATACTGCAGGGCTGCTCTGGAAGGAGTGACCTCCTCATGCCCAGGAAGTCCCTGGGGAAGCTGCTGCTCTCCAACTTGGGCCTCTAAGGGCCTGTCCCACTGAGGGCAGTCAGGCTGTGGCACTGGGGTTGGATGACAGCTATGACAGCAGACTGGGCATTGTTTCCTGGGAAGGGGGTCATCCTTAAAGTAGACATACCTCATCTGGTAACAAAACCAGACCTGGGCAGCCTAGGAAGGGGAGCAGTGGTGAGGGGGGTGTGCCAGCCCCTCCTCACTGAGCTGAGTACACAGTGGCCTCTTTCCCCCCCTCTACTCCCAAAAGGAAGGTATTCAAGACCTCAGATATCCCATCTCTTAGAGTCACAGGAGTGGGTGGCGAAAGGTCCCCCATTAATGGGTCCGTGATTAAAGGATCGAGACTGATATAAAGCGAAGGTCAAGCAAAGCTTTATTCTGCGCCAAGCATCAAGAATCGAACCGACCGGCCGGGGCTGTGCCTCTTACAGAGAGGTTGACCCTTCTCTGCTTTACAGACTAGGTTTTAAGGGCAAAGGCCATGTGGTTGGGCCTGGCCACGCATAGGTGGCCAATGAGATTGTAACACACAGAGAAAGCTGCATAGTCATCCTAGGTCACACACAGGTGGCCAATTGAATTACAATTTACCCTATAGTAGATATTTGAACTAGCCTATCACCTTGGTCAGAATTGGCACCCAAAAGGCGGGACCCACACTCCTTGGTAGCTAGGGAGACAGTATGCGCCCACACTGACTGGATACCTCCACCTGGCCTGACCCACCCTTGTATTTGGGCTTTGTTATCTGGGACTGGTTTCCTGGGCTTGCTTTTAAGTAAGTCCCTGGGGGTGGGGGGGGCAGGATCAGTTTAAGTTTTACTGCATAAACAACAAAATCACTGTTTAACCCAAGATGGAATCCCTCTGGCCAAATAGGCCCTTACAGGTGGGATGGGGATAGTTTGCAAGAACAACTGCTGTAGCTGGGAAGTGTGGTTTTGCTGCCGGGAGGAAATTAGCTGTCCAACTCATGCCCCCATGAGTCCATCCATTGAACCATCTCTGTACCCATTAGGCTGCCGTCCATCCATCCCCTCCTCTACCCATGTACTCATTCATGCATTGATCCATCCCTGAGGGCAGTCAACCATGGAGCTCCAGGGGTCCCAGCTACATACAGACACCTTCTGGACCCCGTGCCCTGTACTCCAGCAAGCAAAGGACAAACACAGGTGTGAGGGGAGCACATTGCTTCAAATCCTTCTCAGTTCCCAGGAAAGAAAAGCGGAAGTCAGCCTGCCACAGAGGAAGACATAAAGCCTCCCCTTTGGACTCTTGGGGGAAAATCCCAGATAGAGTAGAGGAAGTGGGGGCAGGAGACCTGAGGAAGATGCTGCTATGACGGAGGTCCTGGACACTCCCTCCCTCCCACTACCACTGAGGGGAGGGACACGAACAAGTCCTGAGCTCAGTGCCCAGCCTACAGTCCTGCTTCAGTGCTTCCTTGTGCCACTCCAGTCAAGTCTCTTCCTTACCTCCCATCTCTAAAACCTCAGTTCCCCATCAGTCAGGTGTATGGGGAGAGGTGCTTAATTTCTCCAAAGATTTGACTCATGAATCTTTGGGTCTCAGGCTAAACCCCCAGCATTCACACAGGCTCCCTCAAAGTCATGCACATTCAGAAATGTCCCTACTTCTCGGGGCCCCAGAGGCCACCCTCTGGGAACAAAGAAAGAGCTGAGACTCAGCAAGAGAGAAAAGAATTCAGGAGCTAGTGAAGGGGCTTGAATTGAACAGTCTCTGGCCAGACCCTGGAGGCCTGAGGAATAAAGAATTTCAAGAGAGTCTAAGGGCGTAGACACCAGAGTACCAAAGAGAGCGGGCATGCAGCCCTCCCTAACTCTTCCCCAGCCCATGCTTCCCCATCCCCAGCCACCAACCTCTCCTGGGCACTGAGTCCTAGCCTCTTATCTCCCTGCCAGATACATGAGGGATTAGCCCAGCCACCTGTGACTTGTCTCGACCACCCAAACATTCTCAGCACTGTGAATTCATCTAAGCACACCTGCTCCCTGTTTTACTATGATTTAATGATAAGTGTTACGTCGCTATCCTGAGTTCTGGCAGGCCAGAAACCTCCTGCCCGCCTGACAAAGCTGAGGTCTGTGTCTCCGAGGGACAGTATGGACTAGCTCCCCCACCAGAATATAGGGGCCTTGCTGCCTGCCTCTGAGTAGACACCTTCCTGTCTAGGGCTCATGGCTCCTACTACCAGTTTAAGGCCAACAGCAGAGGGAAAACTCCCTACCCTGAAAGCCCAAGACCCCAGCAGCCAACAGCTCCCTAAAGGGACCTGACATTCCTTCTCAGAGAACTCCCAGCTCCCATCTACATGGTAGACAAAAAGCTCCTTGCCCTGTCTGTGGATAGGCTTCCCAGAGAACGGGATTGGACCTATTCGTCTCCATTGCCAACATTGCTCTGTTCAGGGGCTGACCCAGAACAAGCCCCAGAACTCATTTAATTAACAAAAAATGTAACTGAAAATGGCCCTTTCCCACGATGCCCCGCCCAACTCCTACCTGGAGCACATCCAGTTCTTAAGAGCTGGGGCTGTCTCTGTTGCATGGGTAACTGTTTGGTAAGAGCCAGCCCCATACGGTTTTGATCATGTTTTCATCATCTCATGTTCGATTTCTCGGTAAGCCCCCACCCCCAGGCTCCCCTTTTCTGGCCTCCGGGAAACTCAGAAACAGCCAGAAAAATCTTGGAAATAACAGTCTCACAAAGGAGCAGGACTCCCAAGTGGGGAATTTCCTCAAGAACCCCTCTGTAAGAACAAGCCGGCACTTCTCTGGTCAGAGGACTTCCTCAGTGACCCCTGAGAGTGGGCCACATGGAAAGACCATCAGGAACACCATGCCTTCCGGGCAAGACATCAACATTGTATAACTCCGAGGACACCATGTTCCCTGTAGTCCATGTAAATGGCGCCCCTCGGCACCTCGGCACGGCAGCCCTAGGTGTCAGAGTATCTGTTAGTGTAGGGCCCCCAGTAGTCTCAGGGCTGCCATGATCTAGGGTCCTAACCCTGGCAAATCCTTGTGTCCAAAGGGATGCCACCTCACTGGAACCCAGAACATTTATTCCCACCAGGCACTGTTCTCAGAGCTCGTGATACCATCATGAACAAGACAGATATGGTCTCGGGCTTCATGAAGCTGAATGAAAGCCTCTAATGAAGGTTATACTACCTGCCCCCACACACAAAAAAGTGAATAGACAAATGTATTAACAAGGATTCTTAGTTGCAAGCTACTAAACCTCATTAGCTAATTTTTTTTATTTGTTTTACTATTTTATTTATTTATTTGACAGAGAGAATACAAGCAGGCAGAGCAGTAGGCAGAGGAAGAGGGAGAAGCAGGCTCCCCACGGGGCAGGGAGCCCAATGTGGGACTCGATCCCACAACCCTGGGATCATAACCTGAGCCAAAGGCAGACTCTTAACTGACTGAGCCACCCAAGCGCCCCTTGTTAACTGATTTAAGCAGAAAAGTAATTTGTTGAAAAGACCCTGAGAAATTGGAGAGAATGGAAGAGCAAGAGAACCTGAGCAGCTGGAACAGCTTGCGAATCTTGTAGTAGAGCCAGGCCAAGCCAGACAGCCCTTCAGACAGCATCCCTAGAAGGGATGCCAAATGCCAACACCACCCTCATGTCCAGACAGCTGGAGCCCCTTCCTTGTATCCCCCGTTTCAGAGGGCTCTGCTCCGGCTCTTTGCCAGTCATATGTCTGGGCACAGAGCAAAGAGTACACAGGGCTAAGGGGACATATCCACCTGGAGCTTGTCTTCTCCTTCTAGAGCACATTTCAGGAACTGAGCACTA